GTTGCAGAGATGGCTTGTTTCAGCTTGCTCAGGGTGGTATTTTTCCACAAAACTTTGCAACCTATTCCACATTCCACACATGTCCTTAATCACTGAAGAAGGCACCTCCTTCACTCCCTCTTCCTCCTCCTCCTCTGAAGCAAGTTCCTCAGCTGTGGTCTGTTGCTGTTCCAGATGAAGCTCTTGCAGCTCTTCAGTGTTTAGCTCTTCCCTGTGGTCCTCCACCAACTTCTCCACATCCTCGCCACTCACCTCCAATCAGAAGGACTTCCCCAATGCCACAATCCCTTCCACAAATTTCTCCAAGCAGAGTTCAAAGTCCTGGAATTCACTCCCTTCCAAGCTTTACCTATAAGGCTTATGCCATAGAGGATACTGAAGTGATTACCCCAGAACTCTCTTAGGGTCAATTCAGTGTCTGAGGTCACTTCAAAGCACTTTTGAAACAGTGCTTGGGTATAGAGTTTTTTGAGGTTAGAAACTACTTGCTGGTCCATGGGCTGGATGAGAGGAGTGGTGTTAGGAGGCAAGAAATTCACTGCTATAAAACTGAAGTCCCTAGACAATAAGTCTACCAAGTTTAGAGGATGAGCAGGAGAATTGTCCAGCAACAGGAGGCACTTGAATGGCAAATTATTTTCCAGGAGGTATTTTTTCACACTGGGGCCAAACACTTCATGGACCCATGCTTTGAAAATTTGCCTCATGACCCATGTCTTATCATTAGCTTTCCACAACACACAATTTATTCTTGATGACATTGTTTTTCTTGAACACTCTGGGATTTTCTGAGTGATACACCAGTAAAGGCTTCACTTTAAAACCCGCACTAGCATTAGTACAGAACAAAAGAGTTAGCCTGTCTTTCATAGGCTTGTGTCCTGGCAGTCCCTTTTCCTCCTGCATTATGTAGGTCCTCTTTGACATTTTTTCCAAAACAGGCCTGTTTCGCCACAACTGAACACTTGTTGGGATTTGAATTTTTCAGTTTTGACGTACCCCTTAAATTCACTCACATATTTTTCAGCTGCATGTTTGTCTGAACTTGCAGCCTCTCCATGCCTCACAACACTGTGTATGCCACTACGCTTCTTAAATCTGCCAAGCCAGCCTCTGCTGGCCTTAAATTCACTAACATCAGCACTTGTTACAGGCATTTTCTTTATGAGATCATCATGCAACTTCCTTGCCTTTTCACAAATGATCGATTCTGAAACACTATCACCCGCTAACTGTTTATTGTTGATCCACACCACCAACTTCTCAACCTCTTCAACTGTTAGTGATCTATTTTTGGTTAATATGTCAACATCTTGCACAACATCAGCTTCCTTGATTTCTTTTCTCCTCACTAGGATAGAAGTGATTGTTGATTTGCTTTTGCCATAAATCCTGGCAAGCTCCACAACTCGCACACCACTCGTAATTTTGTAATATTTCTTTCTTCACTTCTATGGTGTTTCTCATTTTCTTTACCAAAGGGGTGCCACTAGAAAGTTTCTTTGGGCTCAGGGTGGCTTATTTCACAGCTGCACTTAATGAACAAACACCAAACACAATGAATTAATTGTGAAATGCTTGAATAAGCACGCAGGGTAATGCTCACTCAAGGATAAACAAACCCAGACTGACTCATGACGCCTGCGCGGGGCGGCACGCAAGCACAGGCAGGCAAGATAGGTCTGGTATGCGGGATGAAACACGGGGCACAATGTAAAACTCGGGACAAAACTGAGCTGAAAAAAAGCAGTCAAAACTCAAAGTCACTGATACTCAGGGCGGACGAAACTCTGGGTTCCACCGTATACTTATTTATCCTCTTTTTCATAAAATACGTATTACTTTTTACCAAACCTCTTTCTACACATAGTTCAATTAACCCTTTCAGGGTCCAGAGGCCAAATTTCGAAGTGTGCCCCAGTGTCCAAGAATTTTCAAAAAGTAATTTTGTTATTTTTTCTTATGAAATGGTAGAGAATCTTTTTCTGAAGGTAATAAAACAAAAAGTACGAAATTTGGTGGAAAACTGATGAAATTATGCTCTCGTGAATTTTGATATGTCAGCGATATTTACACAGCGGCGATTTTGCCGAATTTGACTCCCATTTTAGGCCAATTACATTATTCCAGTCGACAAAAATTCTTAGTTATTTCAGTAGTATTACATCCATTCTATCGATTGAGCACAAGTAATTGCCAAATCAACTGTTTCAACTACAAAACAATGTGATTGGAAATTGGTAATTTGGCCAATTTAGTGCAAAGTTCAAAATATTCCAATTTCAAAATAGGGTCCAGAATAAACAATGCAGGCATTCCCAGCACTAAACTAACATTTCCTCTGTTCATTAATTGCATTTTCAGGCTTTACAAATGAATTCCATTTTGATTTTTTATTCACATAATGAATTTTTATTCAAACCAAAAAATAGAAGATTTACTGTTATGCAACATTGTAATAATTGCGTAAATAATATCACCACATTTGTGAACGTATATTAGACCCACCAGCTGGCGTGTATTAGACATGTGAGGTCATTTGTTTACTCTTGAACATCGACAAAAATTTAACATTTTCACTACTTTGAGCTCAATTTCAAGCCATTTCCAATACTAAAACCAATCAAAATCATCTCTATTTCTGTGATATATCTTTCATTCTATCAAATGAGACCAAGAAATTGCAAATACAACCATAAAAAACATATAAAAAAATAAAGCAAAGTTGCTATTTTAATCGAAAATTATGGTCTATGTTTTTTCCTCTCATTTTGCACTGTGTGCTGCAGGATTTGTTTTATGTGGTGCGCACATACCACATAGATGTATTCTCTCATATCTAGGCCCAAATTTACTTCTCACAACTTATCAGAGTGAGCTGAGCTCATGGCATAGATCTACGGTTGGACCCTCAACGTAAAGCCGTAGATCTATGGCACGGACCCTGAAAGGGTTAATCGAAAATTACGATCTCAGTTTTTTTTTTTCTCATTATGCACTGTGTGCTGCAGGATTTGTTTTATGTGGTGCACACTTGCCACACAGATGTATTCTATCATATATAGGCCCAAATTTACCACTCACAGCATATCAGAGTAAGCTGAGCTCATGGCATAATCTACGGTTTGGACCCTCAACTCAAAGCCATAGATCTACAGCACAGACCCTGAAAGGGTTAAAGGCCCCCCCCAATTTTCATTTACACCTGGCACCTCAAATTTACCTACTACTCCCTCCACAACATTTTTATCCACTTTAGCATTTAGGTCCCCAACCATAAGTACTTTCTCATTTCATTCAAAACTCCCCATGTACTCACTCAACATTTCCCAAAATCTTTCTCTCCTCTACACTTCTCTCTTCTCCAGGTGCATAAACACTTACTATAACCTACTTTTCACATCCAACCCATATTTTACTCCACATAATCCTTGAATTTATACATTTACATTCCCTCCTTTCCTGCCATAGCTTATCCTTCAACATTATTGGTACTCCTTTCTTAGCTCTAACTCTGTTAGAAACCCCTGACTCCCCTCTGAAACTCTCCTACCCCATTCAGCTTTGTTTCACTTAAATCCAGGACATCCAGCTTATTTTCTTTCATAATATCCACAATCATCTCTTTCTTATCATTCGCACTACATCCAAGCACATTCAAACATTCCACTTTGATGGTTTTCTTCTTATTTTTAGAAAGCTGTAAATAAAATGGGGTTACTAGCCCATTGCTCCCGGGATTTTAGTTGACTTTTACAACACGCATGGCTTACGGAGGAAAGCTTCTTATTCCACTTCCCTATGAATATGAAAGGAAAAGTAATAAGAAAGACTATTAGGATAAAATCAAAGAAAACTCAGATGAGTGTGTACACATAAACATGTAAATGAATGTGTAGTGTGACCAAAGGGACTTTTACGCCAGCCTTCGTTGGGTGTGGAGGTCTCGCTCTTGCATGAGTATCAGCGATAAATTTCCCCCGTTCTCTCTGGTACGCTTGTCTTCATCTATTTTGCTCGCCAGGCACTCTACAGGAGGGGCAGCTGTTCATCTGCTTACCTTTAGCCAGCTCCATTTTTTCTGCTCTGCGGATAATTCTTTATCGGTCTTTGGTGGGAAGCCGGTTACTGAACTCAGGTGGGGGTGTGGGTGTCCTGCTCTACTGGGGCTTGACAAGGGGTCCACCAGATCTAAAGTTTCTATCTCTATGTACAAAGGAACTTTTGTTCCTTTTCTTTCCTTGCCCAGCCTTGGGCAACAAATCTTCCTTGTACCATCGGGAAGTTGGGCTCGGTACGGCTTATGCTGTCAGTGTCCCAACAAAGTAGTGTGACCTAAGTGTACATAAAAGTAGCAAGATATACCTGTTATCTTGAGTGCTTATGAGACAGAAAAAAAGACACCACCCCTTCTACCATCATGTAAAACAAATATAGGTTGCTGTCTCACACTCATTTGGTAGAACAGTAGAACTTCCCTGGGTGGTTGTTGTCTACCAACCTACTACTGTCACACCCTGTTAATATTAAGCTTAATAAAAATACGTGCTGAAAAAATAGAGAGATTTGGGTGTGGGGAAATACAGTAAGCACATTTTAAACAAAACTTGTTTCATGTTTAATAAATACAGTGGACCCCCGCTTAACAATCACCTCCAAATGCGACCAATTATGTAAGTGTATTTATGTAAGTGCGTTTGTACGTGTATGTTTGGGAGTCTGAAATGGACTAATCTACTTCACAATATTCCTTATGGGAAAAAATTCCGTCAGTACTGGTACCTGAACATACTACTGGAATGAAAAAAGTTCGTTAACCGGGGGTCCACTGTATTGTATACAGTACTAACCAAATATTTAATGTTTTATCTTTCTGCATACAGATGATAAAAACAAAATTGTGAATGGAAGTTACTAGCTCCTCCTATTATTACTATTTTGTTAGAAACAATGGGATATCATTAACAATATATTTAATGCATATTTTCAGTACTACTTACCTTACAGAATGACTCATGTGGTAGCTAAACAATTCTGATAAAATGCAAAATTCTGATGGTCGATGGTGGTCCGTATACAGATCAACCTGAAGATTAAGAATGTAACCAGTATATATTTATACAGCCAAGAAAAAAACAAATAACAGATATTAACATGTTATTAAGGATGCAAAACACAGGAAAAAGTAAATGGATACATATATCAGTAATTTACCTTTGGTTCATATTGAGTAACAGGCATTAGGAGTGATACAGATTTTCTGGCTTCTTCCACTGGCAATGGTAGTGTCTCCATTACATCAGAGTCCCACCACTGACTTGTACTTCGACTGATTATAAAAAAACAGAAAAATTTTCAGCTGAGCAATTTCAGGATTTGTGTAATTTTTTTTTTTTAACACACCAGCCATTTCCCACTGAAGCAGGGTGACCCAAAAGAGAAAGAAACACTCTCACCATCATTCACACATAATCACTGTCTTTGCAGAGGTGCCCAGATATGACAGTTCAGATGTCACTCCAACAAGCCAATATCCCAAACCTCTCATTTAAAATGCAGGCATTGTACTTCCCACCTCCAGGACTCAAGTCTGGCTAACTGGTTTCCCTGAATCCCTTCATAAAATACCCCGCTCACACTCCAACAGCTCGTCAGGTCCAAAAAAACTATTTGTCTCCATTCACTCCCATCTAATATGCTCATACACACCTGCTACACATCCTGGCCCCTTGCACGCAAAACCTATTTTACCCCTCCCCTCCATTCTTTTCCCTACCCCTCCATTACAGATTTATACACCCTCCAAGTCATTATATTTTGCTCCATCCTCTCTAAATGACCAAAAGTATTATTCAGACCTCTGAATAATACTTTTCTGTAATTCCACACCTTTTAATTTCCACACTTAGACAAGATTTCTTCACTGTCTCCAGCCTCCTCCTCACTGCAGCATTTACAATCCATGCTTCACACCCCTATATAAGAGTGTTGGTACCACTATACTTCTTTGCCTCAATGGATAACATTTTTTGTCCCCACAGACACCTCAAGCACCACTTGCCTTTCTTCCTTCACAAATTCTATGGTTAACGTCATCCTTCATAAACCCATCTGCTAACAAGTCTACTCCCAAATATCTGAACATATTCACTTCTTTCATACTCCCTCCCTCTAATGTGTAAATAGAGAACACAAATGCTTAAGCAGAAATCTTTGGTCTCTTAATAATATTATTGTAATTATTAAGTTTTGTGTGATACATCAATTATTTCCCACTATGATATGGAAAGAATAAAAAAAAAAAGGAGATAAAACTCCTTTTTACCCCAGCATTTTAGTGATTATCTATTTGTAGCTGCAGGAGCAGAGTTAAGCTTGTACATAACTATTCTGCTGCTCTAATGCTTTGCAAAGAAAAAAACTTTCTAGCGTCCATTCAGAAGTTATTTTCTCTTAGTTTACAGTTCAGGTCTCTTCTGCCAGTTAAGAGATTTTTCTCATAAATTCTTAAGTAAACTTTAATAATTCTGATATGATAAGTATGATAAAACACCTAAATTACTGCGAACGGTTCAAGTTCCTTGGCTTGCAATCCCTGAAATGCAGGCTGGAGAGATATATGATTATATACACTTGGAAAATCCTAGAGGGATTAGTACCAAATTTGCACATGAAAATCACTCCCTATGAAAGCAAAAGACTCGGCAGGTGATGCAACATCCCCCAGTGAAAAGCAGGGATGCCACTAGCATGATAAGAGACAACACAACAAGTGTCAGGGGCCCAAGACTATTTAACTGCCTCCCAGCATACATAAGGGGAATTACCAAAATACCCCTGGTTGTCTTCAAGAAGGCTCTGGACAGGCACCTAAAGTCAGTACATGATCAGCTGGGCTGTGGTTCATACGTCAATTTACATATGGCCAACAGTAACAGCCTGGTTGATCAGGCCCTGATCCACCATGATGCCTGGTCACAGACCGGGCTGTGCGGGCATTGACCCTCGAAACCCTCTCTACGTGTATTTCAGGTATCATGCCTCCTTTTTTCCTGCATTTTTTTTTTTTTTTTTTTTTTTAGCTCTGAGAGCTATTCCATCACTTGTCTCTGGACTTTCTAGCTTGTCCACATACCTTTTTTTAGGAGTGGACACATTACTACAGCTACATATTCTAGTTTTTGTTTAACATATATGTGAACAGCTTTTTAACCCTTTGACTGTCACGGTCGTATATGTACGTCATAGGAGATACCGTGTTTGACGTATCTATACGCATAAATTCTAGCGGCTTCAAATCAAGCAGGAGAAAGCTGGTAGGCCTACATGTGAGAGAATGGGTCTCCATGGTCAGTGTGCACCATATAAAAAAAATCGGGGAGCCAGTGGTGCATTGTGGGAATACCATTTCAGTCGTCCTTTTTCAGCATGTCTAGTGGTAAGAAATATGTGACTTCCCTGCAAATCTGGGACTCTTCTCTTCCCAAGTGATGCTCTAACACAGATGGAAGTGTCAATGAAGATCAATTTCATGATTTCGAGGAGTTTGAGACCAAAAGCAATAGAGGAGGTGGAGGAGGAGGAGGAGGAGAGGAAAGGAGGAGGAGGAAGAGGAGGAGGAAGAAGAGGAGGAGGAAGAAGAGGAGGAGGAAGGAAGGAGGAAGAGAAAGGAAGGAGGAAGAGGAAGGAAGGAGGAAGAGGAAGGAAGGAGGGAGGAGGAGGAAGGAGGGAGGAGGAGGAAGGAGGGAGGAGGAGGAAGGAGGGAGGGAGGAAGAAGGAGGGAGGAGGAGGAAGGAGGGAGGGAGGAGGAGGGAGGAGGAGGAAGGTGGAAGGTGGAAGGAGGAGGAAGAAGAAGACGAAGAAGAAGAATAAGAATAATAATAATACCTAATACCTAATAATAATAATATGTAATAATATGTTCCCTTGAGGCATGAAAACAGTTCACCCCATGACAGTGACAAGATAAGGGGAGATAACATCTGATAAGAGCTGACCTTTGATGAGCGTAAACGAGGGTGGAGGGAGGCGGGCAGCTGTCCATCTGTCAAGAGCCAGGAGGAGGAGGAGGAGGAGAAGGAGGAGGAGAAGGAGGAGGAGGAGAAGGAGAAGGAGAAGGAGAAGGAGGAGGAGGAGGAGGAGGAGGAGGAGAGAAGAAGATGACGACGAACAAACATTTGTCTGTCTGTCTATTTGTCTGTCTGCCAAACTCCCTGTCTATCCGTCTAGCTCTGTCTCAGAGAGAGCCACAAGACTGTGTCATCATCACGTTTACTCACATCTTCAAGCAGAGTATAGCACTTTGTCTGGATTTTTTTGGGTTATCCTAGGTAATTTACACTATGTATAGTTGTATTTATGTGAACCTGTGAGACAGAGATAGACAGAGAGAGAGAAAGAGAGACAGATTGAAAGAGATAGAATGAGGGAGAAAGATAATTAGATAGAATGGAGGGGGAAGCAGCATCCGACCCCATTGTTTTGACAGGCAGTAGGGGGAGTGACTAATGAGACAATATGTCATTTTGACAGCTGCCCACTCCTGACTCAAAACAATTATAAGCCACACACTCGCACACAAGACAAGCTTGCTGAAGGGTGATAATAGCAGTTTTATGAAAGTATCTAGTGACTATATATGTGTATATATATTATAGAAACCAGAAGCAAGAAGGGAAGGCAGGAATGAAGGAAGGACTAGATGAAAGGAAGGAAAAAAGTAATGAAGGACAGATGAAGGAATGTAGGAAGAGAGGTGGAATGCCCTCCAGGTAGCCTCCAGGTAGGAAAGGAATGAAGGAAATTAGGAAGGAAGGAATGATGACACACGACCATTTACCTAGGATAACTACATAACACAACTGCCTGCTAATACTTTGAAGAAAACTGCTCAGACGAGGTATTTTGTCCTTGCACATAAAAAAAAAAATTCAACAAAAATGCACACACACTGATTTTATGTGTGAGAGTGTAAAACACCACTGTGTATGACACCATGTTTTATGTTTGAGGAGTGTAAAACACCACTGTGTATGACACCATGTTTTATGTTTGAGGAGTGTAAAACACCACTGTGTATGACACCATGTTTTATGTGTGAGGAGTGTAAAACACCACTGTGTATGACACCATGTTTTATGTGTGAGAGTGTAAAACACCACTGTGTATGACACCATGTTTTATGTGTGAGGAGTGTAAAACACCACTGTGTATGACACCATGTTTTATGTGTAAGAGTGTAAAACACCACTGTGTATGACACCATGTTTTATGTGTAAGAGTGTAAAACACCACTGTGTATGACACCATGTTTTATGTGTAAGAGTGTAAAACACCACTGTGTATGACACCATGTTTTATGTGTGAGAGTGTAAAACACCACTGTGTATGACACCATGTTTCACAGAGTTCCACAAGCTGCAGAACTTCTAGGAGTATGTTCAGTGACTGTATATTGGTATATATATTATAGAACAATAGTAATAAACAATTTTTTGTATTGTTTGTTTTTGTAAACAAGTTTTGTAAACAATATATTGATAATTATGTTTGTGTGCTTATTGTGTTGTATACAACGAGTGTATATATGTACATTGCACCTTACTTTGGTCTCACAGGCCACATAAGTTATGTGAAAAAATAAAATAGTGAAAAAAACAACAAACCTTCAAATACAAGTAAACTAAAGTTTACCGGGTGAGCGGCAGTCACCGCTGTTGCCATACGCGGCTCATTTTCTGCAAACTTCATGCCTCTATATCTCGGTAAGTACTGATGGGAAAAATTTTTTTTTGGGACTAAAACAATTAGAAAAATAATCTTAACATTTTCATAAGAAAAAATAATTTTTTTTTTTTCGAATATTTTGCGACACCAGGAGACACTTCAGGATTGGGCCCTTCGACAGTAAAGGGTTAAGCATTTCTCCATCCATAAACAGCCACTCCTCACTTAATGACCGAGTTAGGTTCCTAAGAGTAGGTTGGTAAGCGAATTGGTCATTAGACGAGGAGCTGCCCCTTACTGATATTTCAAGCATACTATACTGGTATTGGGTTTGTTTTAACTGTCTTTAGATACTGTTTTACTGTCACCTTTGCACCAATTGATAGCATTTTTAGCAGGTTAACCGTTCTGGGGTTGGTGCCATAATACAGTGGACCCCCGGTATTCGATATTAATCCATTCCTGAGAGCTCATCGAATACTGATAATATCGAAAACCGAATCAATTTTCCTCATAAGAAATAATGGAAATCAAATTAATCCGTGCAAGACACCCAAAAGTATGAAAAAAATTTTTTTTTTTTATTTTTTTTTATTATCACAC